TCTCTCTCTCTCTCTCTCTCTCTCTCTTCCTTCCTTCTGTTTCTTTCTTCCTTCTTTCCTTCCCTTCCCCTTCCATTTCCTTCCTTCCTTTCTTTCCCTTCCTTTCCTTCCTTCCTCCCTTTTTTTTAAAGAATATAGTGTCTGTTTTAAGAATGTACCAAGCAGAATTCGACTGGAAGTTATGTGTTATATTGAATGCTATAATCTTAAAGCTATGCACTGAAGCTTAAATAAGAGCTTGAATGGATAAAATTCAAGGATGTAAAGGTGTCATACTCTTAATTGGTAACTACAGGGAAAAATTTGCTTAATAAGAAAAGACAATGTGAAATTGTAACAGGACAGACAAAAGTATAAATACAATGATTTGAATTGAGATAATTAAAACAAAGTTGAGAAAATTAGAAGAGGGGGAAAAAACTATGTAGAAAATATCAAATGGTAATGAGATATGGAATAGAATATAAAAATCAGCATGAAATTGAGTTTTGTGTCTGTATGAAGAAGCGATAACCTGGGACCATGCTATTTTCAAAAAAGATGTTTTATTTGTATTTTGTTTTTGTGAAAATCCAAATAAAATTTTCAAAAAAGAAAACGGTTTTTCTTCACTCAAAAGGAAGAAAATATGTGATTTTTGTTTTCTTTTTATCCTCAGAGCACAGTCATTGTGGAAAAAACGGTCCAGGACCTCATGAATTTGATGCATGACTTAAGCGCCTACTCAGACCAGTTCCTGAACATGGTATGCGTCAAACTCCAGGAATACAAGGACACCTGCAATGCGGCTTACAGGTATGACCATGGAGCTTCTCAGTCATCCAGATCATGGTGGTCCCACTGGTGTTATTTTTTTTTAAAGCCACCTGGACTTTCTTGCTTTTTTCTTTTTTTATAAATTTTCATTCATAAACATTTTTGAATAACATTCATAAACATTCATAAACATTTTTGAACAACAGTGCATCGGCAGGGCATTATTTACAAATAAAACTGTCAACTAAAAAAATACTCCTCTGGTCTTTTTAGTTGCCAGCAGAAAGGGAGTGGGGGGAAAGCAGTGCATTCCTTAAATGCCTCAGATAATTGTTAGGCAGCCGAAGCTTCTGGCGGACAAGATTATTACTGGGGAGCATGATTGATGATTCTTGGCTGTGGATGTGTCCCATTGGAGAATATACATCCAGGGGGTGGGAGGAAGATCAGGGTCAAGGGGGAAATGAATGATGGGTCTTAGTTTTGGCTGCATCCAGCTAACACCAATAAATCACTTTTTTTTTTACTCCGAGAAATGTGGCTAGAGACTTATGATTTGAATGAGGGTGTATTGTCAGAGCCCTGACATCTAGAATAACATTCTAAATAATATTCATAAACATTCATAAACATTTTTGAATAACAGTGCCCTGGCAGAGCATTATTTACAAATAAAGCACAACCAACATATGTTGGTAATAAATTTCAACATACAAACTAATAGCAATAGTAATGGCTAATAACAGTACTAATAGTATAACCAAAAGAATTGATGTAGGCTTCTTCTTACATTAAGTTAACTACGTTTTTAATCAATTACTACATTTATATTTATCGACCTCTTTATTTTCACTGTATATAATATTAACCTTTATAATCTCACTTTCTCCAATGTCTACCTCTTTTCTCTATCCCTTCACAGAATTTATTCCATGTCCGAAAGTATTCTGAATGTCTTTGTCTTTCGTTTTTAAAGTTAATCTATCCATTTCAGCATAGTCCCAAATTTTCCTAATTATAACCTCATCTGGTAGAGTATTCATTTCCGCCCCCCAGTATTTAGCCTATGTAATCCCTGCTGCCATGAATATATATAACATTAAGTATGTGGTTGCTTTGTCATAATCCTCTGATAGTATATACCTAAAAAGCACATTCCTGCTTTAAACTCAATATTTTATTCAGTTATCGTTTCGAGCCATTTATGTATATTCTCCCAATATTTCCTTGCTTTTTCGCATGCCCACCACCTATGGTAATAGGTGCCTGCAACCTGGTTGCGTTTCCAACATTTAGCAGATAGGTTGCTGAACATTTTTGCCAAACTTGCAGGTGTAAAACACCTTATAAAGATTGTTAAGCTGAGGCCATAGTCATTTTGTAATTTTTGTCCCAAAGGTTTTTTTTCCATTTACTGAACTGTAAAATAGAGGAAGAAATAGTCAAAGAAACGATGATTGTCTGGACAAAACCCTTCAGCTATAATATAGAATTAGAAAATCTTGTTGTTTTTCTTGAAGACCTTTCGCTCCTCATCCAAGAAGCTTCTTCGGTTCTGACTGCATGATGTCATTCTCTCGCTATTCAGTCAGAACCGATGAAGCTTCTTGGATGAGGGGTGAAAGGTCTTCTTTGTTCTTCAATGAAGAACAAAGAAAGTCCAGTTGCCTTTTGAAAAGAAAACACATTTGGTACTTACAACTTACTGGAATGCGGTGTGAATGAGCACTCTCTTGCAAATAAGAGAGCTTTAGCTGTAGAGATAAGGGAAGGCCTAGCCCAGAGTTGCATAATGGGTGGAGAAAACGATTCAGAAGGGACCCTCCCTAGCTTCTCAGGTTATAAAAGAAGCAGAGAGAGAATTGCACTTTCAGACTTGCAAGATTCGGTTAACGCAGCCTGCGAGTAAAATACAAATTAGCTCATCTCCTTGTGTTTCCTCTCTGGCCTACCTGTGTGGGCCAACACAAAGGAAGAAATTTATCCGTGTTTTGGAGTTTTCACCCTTCGAGAATGAAAGGCGCGAACATAGCTTGATCTTTCATTCAAAAGAAATACAAAAACACGGAAATAATAAATATATAAAGATGTACTTCTTTTTTATTATACCTACAAAATGTTTTTAGGATAGATTTGGGAGGACAATGTGAATTGCTATAAAATAAACTAAGTAAATTAGGGTTATCTCGTAAAATATGAATGAATAATGCTGTAGTCAAATGATTGATTAATAATGATATTAGGGTATTCAATTTTTGATTGATAATATGAGCTATTATGCAATGTAACTGTAACTGAAGACTACGAAATGGATGCACAAAAAAAAAAAATTTGTAAACCAACCGGCACACTGCTTGTATACCCTATGGAAGAAAGTATGATGTTTTTATGTTTTGTTTGTTTATGCTTGTTTTTATAAACCAATAAAATTTACAAAAAAGAAAAAAAGAAATACAAAAACACAAAAACATTTCTAAGAATCAAGCACGTCCTCTTCCCTGCTTGTAAAATGATAGGAAGAACAGGAGTGAAATAGGAGTCACGGTTGGCATAATTTTGTTTTCTTTGAGCCGATAAAGAGCTCGGCGCCCGCATTTGAACTAACTAACCTCTAACAGAACCCAATGCCTACGCTGATAAATTCCACTTAAGTGTAAAGAGCTGGTAGTAAATTAATACGTCAGTCCTCTGATCAACCTTTTTGGAGAAATAAATGGCTCTAGGCTTCGGGTAAGCTATGGTTTTTAAATGCTTTAAAGTTTGCACAATTTCCTATCCTGTTTCCTCCCCTTCCTCGCTGCTAGGAGGCTCTGGAGTCAGCACTCCATTCCCAGATGGTCCTGGCCCCATCTCTGCATCGGACGCAGGACCCAGACTCCCGGACTGGTCCCTGTCCTTCCCCACGGTCTGATTCTGCTGCTGACTGCACAGGCTGCCGGCTTCCCACAAGCAAAGCCAATGGGAGAAGCCAGATTTGCTTTAACCTCTGCATGATTCCCTTAACATCTTCGGCGATTCCCTTAACAGCTGTGCCAAAATGGTCGCAAAGCGAGGCACAAGTCATTGAATAGCTGTCTTGCTTAGCAACAGTAATTTGGGGGCTCAATTGCAGTTGTAAGTTGAGGACCGCCTGCGGTCCATGGCCAAACCAGGCTTTCTTCTTCTAAACCCCGTCCTCTGGTTCTTGGGTTTATTTTAGGAGCATCGTCCAATCCGATGACAAGATGGTGATCAGCGCGTCTTGGGCCAAAGACGACGACATCACCAGACTCTTGAAGTCTCTCCCCAACTGGAGCAACATGGCCCAGCCCAAGCAGTTGAGACCTAAAAGAGAGGAAGAAGAAGACTTCATCAGGTGGGTCCTTCCTTACATCCACGGATGTAAATCACTGTTTAACCTGGACTCCCATCTTCTTAATGGTTGGGCTATGAAACAAGGAGCAAACAATGAGTCCATGAAGTCAGGAAGAAGCAAGTAGCTGTCACACCCTTGTTGGAGTCTGATTCTGAGGGGGAGATTGAGCAGCTGACAGGGAGTGGGAGTGTGGCTCCAGTGGCTGTGGAAGAAACTGGGGGAAGAGCACAGTCCGGGTGGACATTCAGAGGAAGCCCCAGGCCCATCCCCTCTTTATCCTAGGGCACGCAGGGAGGAACAGAGAAGGGAGCAACATGGGTTACGGGGGAGAAAAGGGCCCTGATCCCTTTCATTAGTTGCAGCTGGGAGAACAGGATATAAGTGGGGCGTTTGCACACAGCTCCTTGCTGGAAGCAAAGTGTGCATTATCTTTGTCGAGGCTTATCTGGGTTTTGGCGTCCTCCCGACTGTGGGTGCTGCGTTATCTTGTGGAAGTCTGCAATTTATCATCCTGGCTTGCCGTGTTAATTCCTTCAGTGTGGTTTGTGTTGGTTTCTTTTATTTCTAATTATCTTTACTTCGGGTTCGGACTGTATTTCTTCCCTTTGTAGACTGTTTTTTGGAAGAATTTGATCTCCAGCCGAGGATAATTGGACATTGGGGGCCAAGTTGGAGGCATTAAAGGGAATTTATTCTACTTTTGTGACTTGGTTATTTTTGTCTCACGCCCCGGGTCATGACAGTAGTCCTGGAAACTCCAAATGTCTGTACCGGCACACCAAACTTTACCAATGCGGCATTTTTTCCCAACAAATGCCCCTCCCCACAGCGTCTCCCCAGGTGTGCCTTATGACGTGGGGTGGGGCACCCTCCTCCCGAGTTGTCGGGTCGGCCTGCTCTGTTCCCGCCTTCTCTCTACCCTCCGTGCTCAGAGATCAGAAGGGGGCGGTCCTTGCTCATCGCCTGAGCTCCGTTGCTACTCATCTCTACTCCTTTCCCTCTCTCGATCACCTCGCCCCATTCCTCCCTGCTAAAAAGCCGCCCCAATCCTGAGGAGTCCTGGGATGCCTCGACCTGCTCTTCCCCAAATTCCTCCAAAGCCAATGAAGCCACCCCCTTGATTTCCATTGCCTCCAGCTCTGGCTCACCCTCCTCTGCAGATTCAGGCTCCAACAGGGACATAACAGCTTACCTGTTCTCAAAGTGAAGATAAATTTATAAACTTCCCGGTGCTACTCTTTTCATTGTTCTAGCATTCTTTTGTTGTGGCCCGCCAGTGGAGCTGATGGCAGACTCGGACAGTTAGGAGATTGAGGAGGAGCATGGGCCAGTCCTGGAGTCTGGGAAAGGCTCTAAGAAGGGCTCTGCGTCGGAGGCAGAGATGGGGCCAGGGCCGTCCGACAGTTATCAGCTGCCGTCGGAGATCAGTGGGGAAGAAGAACAGCTGGAGCCTGTTCCCAGTGTGTGCATGCACAGAGCTGCCAGAAGAAGGGAACAACTAAGGAACACGAGGCAGAGATGGGACCAGGGCCATCCGACAGTTATCAGCTGCCTTCGGAGTCGGAGATCAGTGGGGAAGAAGAACAGCTGGAGCCTGTTCCCAGTGTGCGCATGCACAGAGCTGCCAGACGAAGGGAACAGCTGAGGAACAAGGGTCGACTCGGGAATAAAGCCACAGGTGGACGGTGAATGGCCCCTCCCATGGGGAATAAAGAGGAGCGAAAGGGGAGTGGGGTTGGCAGGAGACAATTAGTTCAATTCATCAGGGTGAAGATCTGTTCCTGACTTCTTGTCAACTCATTGCTGCCTCAGCGTGGCGTTTGGAGGCTTTTGGCCTGGCAACTCTCCTAGCCTGATAAAGGTTTGCAGTTGTGAAATCTCTTGAAAGACTGTTTGCCGGGACTTTGCTAGAGAGGAATTCCCCTTAACCTAAATAAAACGGGTTTTATCAGAATGAGGAGTCAGCTTCAGGATCTAGGGGAACCCTGGGTCAGAACAACTTTCTAATCCATCTAATCGAACTATGTAAAATTCACACCCATTTTTTTTTTATCTCGGAGAATGATCGTGTCCCGACATTTGTTAGACCAGTGAAATTGGGCTGAACTGATTAAGGTTTTCTTTGTGGATTGCTTCCTCACACGGGCCTGACTTTAGCAGTGGACTCTATTTGGAGACCGTCTGACTGCTGGATCAATTTTCTTCGCTTCCGTGGTCCAGCTGGTGACCTCTTCCTCCCCTTGGGATAGCCGGGAAAGCTTCTTGGAAGCTACTAAAGCTGTTTTAGAAATCCCTTGTGATGGACAAGAGGCCGGTTATTGCCGCTTACCGGAGTCCATTAGGAAAATTACGTTAAGGAATTCCTACCCTTTCCGTATCATCTGGAGCCAACCTGGTGTGTGGTTGAAATTGACTGGATTTCCCTTTCCCCCTATAGAAGAACATTATACAACAGTGGTGGGACTTATCTCCAGAGTCTGCCTACTGAGATGAGGTCAGACCGGTTGCTTTCATGGTGTGGAGACAATAACTTGGCCCTCAACACCACTAAGACCAAGGAGCTGATAGTGGACTATATAGAAGGAACAGGTCAGACCTCCAGCCCTGGCTTATCAAGGGAGACCGAGCGGAGCAAGTGGCCAGTTTTAAGTTTCTGGGTGTTCCCTTAAAAGAGGACCTGACCTGGGGGGGCTCACATTGCAGCCCTGATCAAAAGGGCCCAGCAGAGATTATACTACCTGGGACTTCTCAGGAAACAACAACTGAATGGAAAACTGCTGGTGACCTTCTACCGCTGCACCATAGAGAGTATCTTAACTGACTGCACCTCTGTATGGTTTGCCAATTGCACAGTGGCAGATAGGGAAGCACTCCAAAGGGTTAATGTCATTGCCCAGAGGATCATGGGTTGCCCTCTCCCCTCTTTGGAAGAGCTTCATAGCTCCCGCTGCCTTAAGAAAGTTCAAAACATTCTCAAAGATCCATTTCATCCTGGGCAGCCTTTTTTTTTTTTTTTTTGAACTATTACCATCTGGAAGACGGTACAGGATAATAAAAACAAGGACAAATAGGCTGCAAAACAGCTTCTATCCCAGGTCTGTTGAATTCTGCTGTATATAGTGCAGTGTTGGTGCTGTGTCGGGGGTTTTCGGTTCAATGTGTGGAGGGTGAAGGAGGTGTGTTTGTGTTTATTTTCATGGTCATGATGTGCACTGAAGATATTGTTTGATTTCGTTGTATGAGGTGCAATGACAATAAAGTAAAGTAAACTTTAAGAGCGGTGGACTTCAACTCCCAGAATTCCCCAGCCAGCCTAGCTGCGTTTATATTTAACTGCATTTATGGCTAGTTGCATCCTCCTCATGGTGGAACCAATAACTAGTCCTGTGGGATTATTGATTTCATTATAGGTTTGAGGTTAGACCGGAGCGGTTCAAATATTAGCACATTGGATTTAACCATGGCTTAAAAAAGAAGGAAGTGTGGATAATGGATGTGGCACTTGCGACCATAACTGAGCCCAAAACCTAGGTTGCTAAGTGAAACATTTGTTAAGGTGTTTGATTTCGTTGTACGAGGTGCAGTGACAATAAAGTAAAGTGAACTCACTAAAATAATGGCTTGATTTTGAAACACAGCTATTCTAGGATCCAGTCTGAGTCGGTCACCAGAACCAAAGGTTTATTCTTCCAAGCTTTCAGGCTCATCCTGGATGGAGCCCATCCTCAGAGAACAACTCTCCCTCCAAAATATCTGCACTGGATTGTTCTACACCCTGCATTTTGTGGTGCCTGGATTGTGTGTAGCTTTTTGTTATCAATTAGGGTGTTGATGGCTGGCTGTTGAGTCTGTTCTGACCCAGAGGAGTCTGTTTCGTCAAACATAATTAAACACAAACTTGATTGAAAAGCAAACCTATTTTATCTCAAAACAGTTCCCCAAGATAATCACATGCCTTTCGGTTTTGTGGTCAGGGTTCCAATGCTGCCAAAAATAGAAGTATCCAATTAATTATAACAGAAACCAACCAGAGTACCAGAAAAAAAACCAATCAGAGTTTACAGAGCTTCAAGGATTAATCTGAACCGAACAAACGACTTTGCTTCCTGCAAAGGTTTCTTCACCTTTGCCTATCCTTTATTTCTTATGGGAGGGGCAATCACCTCCCAGCCTTACTTTCAAGTCACCCCTTTTGTCTTGCCTTCTGGCAGCTCTGTGCACATACGCGCACTGGGAACAGGCTCCCCTTGTTCCTCTGCCTTGTTGCTGCCAGATTCTGGAGGCTCCCGAGTCAGCACACAACTCCCAGATGGTCCTGGCCCCATCCCTCCATTGGATGCAGAACCCTCGTCCGAGTCCTCTCCAGACTCCCTGACTGGTTCCCATTCTTCCTCACTGTCTGACTCCACTGCCATCTGCACCGGCTGCTGGCGAACCACAACAGAGTCATGGATTGTTGTCGTGCCGCTGTGCCCTTGGCTCCTGATAAGCTGGCGGGGAATCAACAAGGGGGCCTGTTTCCAGGCTTCAATCATTTCTCTCGGCTGTTTTTGTTCCTGCTCGGCCAACAATGGCAGTAGTTTGCAGTCGAATACATGTCCCTGTTCATTGCAATATGAGGCTTCTGATGAATTTGGGTCTCCTTGTCAAACTAACTCGTTCCTGTTCCTTTTCTCCCTGTTAGCTTTCTCCCCGTTTGTCCCAGCGTTTCTAGTCCATGGTTGGGTAATCTTTCAAAAACCAGAAAGGGGGACGGAGGGATAAAAATATTTAAATTAAAACAAAGATGGTGTGAAGAGTCCCAGGCTGGTAATTAATTTTGGGGCGGGGTCTTTTAATGAGCCCATAATCCCTTGCATCAGGATGGAGTCAGGGCAAACTGAATGGAGTTAAGTGTTTACTGGCCGGATGCCCTTCCTGTCTCCAGTGCGGATTTCGCAACAGATATATTCTAGTGTGTCCAGAGAGAGAAATATCTGCCTCTAACTGGGATCGAACTCATAGCCTCCTGATTGTGAGGGGAAAG